TTTATCAGCTCTTGATTTGCTAGAATCTCCTTTGCCATCCTGTTTTACACGAGGGCTGTCAGGTCTTGACTTCTGGTCCGACTTCTGATCCCCAGAAGAAAATCTTTCTCTCGATTCACCAGAGTCATGTCTGTGTTTCCTTTCAAATTTCTCAGGTTTTGAACCATCAGATTTAATACCATACTTAGAATCATGTTCATTTCTGTTCGAGGATCTCAAAAATTCAGTCCTTCTAATCTTTGATGGATCTCCTCTGTATCTTTCTGATTCCCTGTCCTCAGATCTCTGTTTAAGGCTATCGTGGTCACGTCTCTGAGCATCAGAAACTGAACGCCCCTCAGGCCTTTGCTTCACTGGATCTGATCTACTATCAGGTTTTAGCTTTGAAGTATCAGATTTCATATCAGGTTTATGCCTAGATAATTCAATTTTCTTTTCTGACAATGGTTTACTGGAATCCCTCCTGTTATCATGTCTATGTTTTGGTGTTTCAGGCCTGACTTCAGTCTTCTGCTTGGGTGTTTCAGGCCTGCCTTCACTCTTCTGCTTTGGCGTTTCAGGCCTCTGTCTTATTTCTTGTTTACCATTATTTTGTTTTCCCTCATTTTGTTTCATCTCCATTTGTCTGCTCTCATTCTGTTTTGACTCTGCCTGTCTGTTCTCATTTTGTTTCATCTCCACTTGTCTGCTATCATGCTTGATTTCATACTTAGCGTCTACCTGTTTATTGTCATTGTATTTAATTTCCAACCTTCTGCTCTCATTTTGCTGAAACTCCATTTGTCTGTTCTCATTTTGCTGGATATCTGTCTTTTGAACCTCAAATTCTGACTTTTTCCTAAAAATCTCAGGGTGGTTTTCAGGTTTAAGTTTAAGAACTCCAACAGTCTCTTCTTGGGGAATACACACAAATCCATCATTATACTGCTTAATCTCTTCAGGTTTTTTGATAGCCTCAAGTTCCTGAGTTATTGTTGCCTGAGAGTCTGCTCTTCCTGCTTGCTGAAGATCAATACTAACCATCAGCGCTGGCCTTGCCCCATTTCCTGCAGAACCTGTCTCCTGAGAAGCTGGCCTATTTCCTCCAGCAGCACCCCCAGCCTCCTGTGGTTTGTTTTCTTGTTTTCGCTTCTTCAGAGGCTTATCTGCAAATTAACAGAGAAAAATAACAAATGATATATATAGAAAAAGGTTAATTGTATAAGCAATAATATCTTCCTGGCCATTCTCAGCATGTATGACCATATATAAGAAAAGTCATTGAATTTAAAAGCAAGAAAAGATCTTCTCTAGCTAACACTTCTTAATGCATTCATAGACTATTGTTCACTGCCAGCCAAACAGATTCCAATTATTCATTAGAAAACCTCAAAACACATGAAATCAAGGCTCCTGTAAAACTTGCATGGGAACAACCTAACAAAGCAGTCACAATAAATAATGACAAGACAAGCAAGCAAACAAAAATACTTAATGTTGAAGCAAAAGTCTGCTAAGACAAGCTTAAAGTGCACCTTCACATCTACTCCTTGATGAATACTACTACTGTAAAAGATTCTCATTTGCAAATACAGCCTGCTTCATTATACACAAAATTAGTAAGGATCTGCCATGATTAAATCAGAGGCTCTCCCTGCATGGTTCTGTTCATTAGTTGGATTTCATGGATATTAATGACATGAGCAGAGGAACAATGTGCAAAAATGATTAAAATAACTCCAACACTCTGTGCTTCTCTTTGAAACAAAGCAGTATGCCAAGAGTTGGAGCCTACACAATAACACGTATACTAATTAGGGGGCAGCTATGCAATTACAAGATTGAGTAATTTTCCTTCAGAACCATAGCACTTTGCATAGATGAAATAAAAAGTGATAATTTTACATAGTGTAAAGAGCTTGAGTCTTCAACAGTCCTTTCACTTTATATAAAAAAGTTACCAAGAGTAGAATACAGAAAAATAAAAAGCGAGCCAACCATACACTTTGTAATTTGACAGAAGTCACAGAAATGAATAGCACATGGAAATATCAAAATGAATGTGTTTTGTACAGCTATTACAAGCTATTTATTTTACCAACATGGTATATAAAGTAAAATTAATTAATGACATTAAAACTGTAAGTCCTACCTGTACTCATTTGTGAACTACCATCATGTAATTTATTGAATAATAATAATAATAATAATTTAAAAAGCAATTACCTTCTCAATAATCAAGGAATATAGTTTTAAGTTTAAGGAATGACTAAATATAGGTCAGAAACTGTTCTGTAGATCTATGGTCAGTCCATACTACAAACACAATATAAGAAAAATAATTTATTTGGTGCCTACATTTGTGGTGTCTTAGCTCTCTTTTAGAGAGCAGGGGAAAGCTAAGAAGGATGCAATCAAAGATGCCCCTGAAACTGTATAGATTGTAAACCAAAATGACAACATATGTCTTATAATTTCATCTGTTTTAGAAGATTCTTTTTCAAAAGAGTGAAAACTTGGAAGAATCATCTTCAAAATTAAAATCAGAACAAAGGAACAAGGAGAATCACAGAATCACAGAACTGTAGGGGCTGCAAGCACTCTCCAGAAATCAACAAGTCCAGCCCCACTGCACAGCAGGTTAATTTCAGTAATGTGGGCAGGCTTTTTTACCCCATCATTTTCATTCTCATATCTATTTGTGCACTTCCTATGATTTTAAAATTATATCCAGCCTTTAATGGTTGGTCGGCAGTGAAGACATAGATTAAACTCCATGCAGAGAATCATGAACTCATGGATTCTGAATTGAATCTCATGAATTCATGGAACTGAAAACAAGGAATTTTTCAAAATTCTAAACAAAATCCTGTAGGAAAGCCTGCCATAGTTATTATAGACATGCTACCTGGAAATTTATGATACAATTGCCACTTAGAATATGCAGCTTTTCAGTACAGATGTATTTTTTTGTAGAACATATCAATTTCCTTAAACTACTAATTAAATATATATATATATATAATATGTATATATATATATATATATAAAATTTTCATAGAGTGACAAAAATTATTTTTCTCTCTGTGACTTTGAGGCCTTTGAACTTTGACCTCAATAAACTACATGGTAGGTTTCCAGAATAGTCAGGAAGTGGAAGCCTCCAAAATGAGAGCTGATAAGTTTCAAATTTGCTTTTTCTTTTCTCTTTTTTTTAAATTTAAGTATACACACATATACACACTACCTTCTCAACTGAAAACTCCATTTGAAACACTAATTAAGAAAATTTTGCTCTTAAGAAAAAGTCAGTCAGCTTCTTCGTTTTAACCCAGAAATATCAGCCATACGAAAAAAGTTTCTATAGCTCTAATCTAACTGTAGCCTTTAAGACACTATTGCTACCACTTAACTGCCCCATTCCTTTAAGTGAGTTTATCATCTGTAGCAGAAGGGAACAAACATTCACATTCCCACAAGTGTGTTTCTTTGTCCAGTGCATCAGCTTAAGGCACTAGTGAAGATGATTTGCATTAACCTATCAGACTGAATAAGTCATCTAAGAGTCAAGCAAATGTTTCCTTCTGCTACCCCTACTGGCAAGCAAGGCTGATGGCTAAGAGCTGTGATGCCTTAAACTGCTTTAGCTGGATCAACCAAAACTCACCTTTCAGAGCCCTCATGCTGAGGGCTCCAAGATTAAACAACCAAAACAATTCAGGTAGGACCAATTTTCACTCTTGAACTTCTGTAACTGACCAGGCTCAAAATGCTGTTCATCTTCATAATCCAAAATGTCAACTTGTTAATTGTTCTTTGTTCTAATTCAAAATGTCAATGTAAATTGAGAACTTATAAATAGAAGATCACATCATGATTTGGCACATTCTCTCTAAACACAGAGCAATTTTGATGGATCTTCATTTCTCTTGACAACTGAATACTGATGTTTGTCACAATCACAACCTGTTGTGTTCTTATCTGAGAAAAAGATGCCTTCAAAGTTTTCTTTCCCTAAAGGGCAAGGTGGCTGTAGACAGAGTTAAAGATTACTCATATATTTTTTCATATTTCCAGGGCATCTTCATGGCCATCTTCAGAACTAGATTTGATCATTACTGTTCTTCCTCTAAGAGATTTGTGGATCTAGGACAAAAAAGTTGGCTCAAGTATACGAAAATACCAGATTTAACAAGGGCATCCAACATAGGTAGGATGAATACATAGACCACTATCTTCATCGCAAATTAGTGAAAAAAAAATCCACTGAATCAGCACAAAAGCTTTTTAAGATGTCATGATGGCTCAGAAGTGTGGAAGGTGAAAAACACCCCTAGGCTTCGAGAACTAGATCAAATCTTAATTGCACTTTGAATTATATGAGCTTAATCAACAGATTATTGAGCAAAGAATATTTAACTTCTGCAAGCAGATGTCTTGAAATCTCCTCTTTTACAAGAAGGTATATGAAAATTTACATAAATTTACTTTGTTAAGGAATGAGTTCAAAGACCCCTCATGAATCGTGATGAACAAATAAACTTAAGGACTTTAAAAATGTCCATTCAAATGCACTTCATATCCTTCAAGGCATCAATATCCAATCTTCATCCACCTCAGCCCAGAGACACTGGAATTTCTTTTTGTTATCAGGATCTAGGATTTTATCTAAACATCAGACAAATGTTTTTCTTTCAAATTCCACAGACCTACGTTCAAAACTTGCCAGAATTCTGAACAGGGAGGCTGAGAAGCTGGAGACTAGTAAAGTGTGATTTTTTTTTCTCACCCTGTAACAGTTTTCGTAACAAAATGTACATGTTGTTAAAACAGCTTTCTGACTGTGTTGGAGACTGGGCATCCAAGTTCGTCTTCAGATTCTTCTATTTCTAGAAAAATTATTCTCTTTCTCTATCTTTATATCACAAATGTAGATACATCCAAAATGATTTCTTGAACAAACTTATGACAATTTATGACATGGATATTCTCTTAACATAGCAGCACACTCACCATTTTGTAATAGTTTAGTACCCATAAGCTACCTCATTCTACATATATACATGTACATATATTACATATATACAATATATGTAATATATACAATAGAGATGATGTACCAAATTAAATGCCATTGTAGTTTAAGAAACTAAACATTACAGGAACTACAAGTTTGAGGAAAAAAAAAGAGGCTATGTCTCACCTGTCCTGTTATCAATAGTATTCTCAAAAGCAGGTGTGGCTTTCTTCTTGGAAATGTCTGTGTGTCAAAATGATGAGTACTTTCAGATTTAGAAATTATTTAATTACTGTGGAACTTTTGTGCAAAATCAAATTGCACTGAAATAACTACAGATACCTCCAAATACATTTCTGCTGAAAGGATAAGTCAATCGCATGAAGAATCATCATCCTGAAAACAGATGTGTTTGGAAGGTGAGCAAATGTTAGGGACAGAGACTGGATATGGGGAGCTGGATTAAAGAAATATCTCAATTTTTCCATTTAACCTGAAATTTTTCCAAAGCAGCAGCCAGAATATCACTAATGCTGAAATCTCCAACATTACTGCTTTCATGAAAATCCTATAATTGCCTTAGATATCACATTAAATTCACTCAGCAAATGAATAAAATAGGGCTGTAGCCTAAAAAATGCATGGTCTAGCAAACAAAAATGGGTCTTTTAAAAATATATGAGAAAAAGTAACATCTCAAAAAGAAATACAAGATTGCAGAGCTTTGTTATGGCAGAGTTGTAATATTCCAGACTTAATGCTGTTTCACAGACACTAAAATCCAGAAAATTCTGAACGATCATGAATGATCTTGAATAATCAACAGTAAAGTTATTTCTTCCTCATTTACATCTGTAAAGAATTAAGTTGGAGACTTCAGATCTGAGATGGTTAAATGCGTAGGTGCTCCTCTTTAGAACTGCAAAGACAGTTCTAAAGTAGCAAGACGGACCCTCAACACTGAATTCTGGATCAACAATTTTGGTGACTCCAGTTTAGACTTCTTTATTTTTTTTAAAGAATAAAAATTTAGAGTCCAATATTTTACAACTCTGACAATCCTTATGGATCACAGCGGTATGCCTCCAGTCATTAGAAATACAACTTACTTGTACTATTTAAATCAACAATTAATACACGTGTACCAAA